TTTTTTTTTTTTTTTTTTTGTGTAGATGGCTGGAGATGCGGTGGCTGGAGTGGAGGAGTTCCCATTTTTCTTGGGGTCTGTCCAAGCTTAGGGTGTTCCTTGGTTGAAGAAGAAGAGGGGACTGCCGGTTTTGTTTTTGGTCTAGGTCCTTTTTTTTGTTTTGTGTCTAGATGAAGAAGAAAGGTTTAGGGTTGTTCTTCTTTTTGGGGTGGGCCTGGGTCAAGAAAATTGGGCTAAGTCTTGGCCAAATTTGGGCTGAAAACAAGACAAAAACTAGTCCAAAAATTAATTCTATTCCCTCCCCTTTTTATATGTAAAAATAATATAGCAAACAAGATAAACTATTAAATATACTAATTAATCTTACTTAAGAAAATAAATTATAAAAAATGGAATTAAATATTAAAATGAAGCTACATTTTTGTATTTTTAGAAGATTATACTAAAAATAGGAATGCGAACTTAAGATAATACCACTATAAAAATACTAATGAACTTAAATAAAATAAAACCAACATATATAATGAGATAAATTGAAACTATTTTTGTGTTTTCGATTTTTATGATAAAATAAAGTAAAAGAGTCAAAACTAGTTAAAATAGCGATATTACACCTAAACTAAATATTTAAATGCTAAAATATGTAAAATTTTGGGGAGGGTCAAAAACTACATGTCTATAGCTGCCCCTCTTTTACTAGAAACACGAAGAGTGTTCAGACAAAGAACGACGAGACAGGTTTTTTGACCCGACCCTTATTTAGAGAGACCAAAAACTAAAGAAGGGAGAATGTGACCGAGCCCTGGTATCTGAGCTGTCTACATATCCTTGGCTATAAAGGAATCTAGTCACGTGTAGTTCAGAAATAGGAACAGTTATGGAGTATACCAAGGTGGAGAGCCGATTGAGGTGCCGTCGAGGTTCCGGTCCGCGGTTCCTACTATTACATCAAAATTTAAAGGGACGGGCCAACAATCCAGCAAAAGGGCTGAAAAGCTCCTTTATTAAACCTTCCCCTTTTAATAATAAGAAGGTAAGCATCAAAGCCCAGAAAAAATTACTGCAAAAATAAAAGAAAAATGCAAAATCCTATCTACTCCTTGTCTTGAATCTTCCTTGAATCTCTACTTGCTCCTTCAATCATGAATTGAAAATTCACCCTATTCTTCAGGTGGGCATCCTGCTGACTTATATCTGAAGAAAACTAGAAGTTGACCCTGTTCTTCAGCCGGGCATCCTGCTGCTTGCACTTGAAATAAACTTGAACTTGGAGTAGACCCTATTCTTAAGGCGGGTTCCTGCTACTTCTGACTTAAACTTGAAACTAAAAATTAACCCTGTTCTTCAGGCGGGATTCTCCTGATGCTTCTTGAACTTGGAAATTGAAAGTTGACCTTGTTCTTCAGGCGGCACTACTGGAAACTAGGCCTACGGGAACAGTTGTTTTGGCAACGGTTATTAAACCGTTGCAATAGAGTAGATACGGTAACGGTTACAACCGTTACGATAGAATTTGGATGAAATCAGTACACTTTAGATACTAAACCGTTCCGGTTGACAGTTCACCATTACCATAGGTCTTGTTTATAAGAACGGTTTTGGCAACCGTCCCAATAGGACTATTTGTAGTTACGGTTCTAGAAATTTTTGTAATATCGGAACGGGTATTTTGTTCCCTCCTCATTTTTCCCCCCGAATTTTGCTAAACCCGCCAATATAACCCCTTTCTCCTTTTATTTCTTTTTTTTTTGGTAAATATAATAACTAAATTAAAATTTCTTCCTTTTTTCCAATGCTTTCATCTTCCTCAAGTTCATTCTTTGGCAGCAGACGTTCCCAAATCAAAATCACCAGACAACCTAAATTCCACCTTCCTCAAATCACCAGCAAACCTAAATTCCCAAATCCCCAAATCTATTTATTAACCAAAAATCCCTAAAATTGCTAACCTAAAACTCCCAAATCCCCAAAGTCCCAAACTCCATTTGTTTCACTCGAAGGAAGAGAGGAAAAATCACCGTAAACGTCGCCGCGGTCAGGTTTCCCCCTCCCCCCCCCCCCTCCCGCAACTCCTCTCTTCCACCAATCCTCTATTTTTTTTCTCTGGTTATGTTTTTTTTTCGCGATTCTCTCTGGCGACCGGAAGATTCGGAATTTGAGCTCTCCAGATCAATATTCTTCATCTTGTAAGCTTTCTATTGATCTATTTTTCGCATATATCAGTAATGTTTTGTTACTTCTTTTTTTTTTGATTTTTTGGTTTAGGGTTTCTTTCAAGGTTAATGCGCAAGTTTTGTACTTTATATTTGTAAATTGTGATCATTTTGTGTATGGCTTTATATGTTTTTAGGTTGTCTTTAACGTTGAACATTGAATTGGGCGTGAAATATAGGTAATTGGGAGGAATGTTGAACTTCAGGTAATCAGTCTCTCAAATATTCCGATGACCATTGATTAACATGGTTACCTAACTTGAATAACACTTTGAATAGAAAGAAGAGTATTATAGTTTCTCAATATTGACATGATATTTGTCTCCAGTTTGATTGAAATTATGGTATTTTTTCCCTGTGAATAGAGAATACACAATAGAGAAGAGAGCTAGTTGGGGTTACTACTATAAAAATTTGTCATGACCATGGTAGGGTATGTATATATTTCATACCTTTAGGGTCCCAGCATGTTCTTATTTGATGTTTAGTATTTGGCCGTTTATTATAAATTCAATTTGGTGATGATTTTTTTCTGTACTTTCTGTTGACACTTTGAATAAAAACATAGTAGTGCTAGTGCTAGCTTACATATTTAAAATATTGTTGCATTTGGCAGAGGGGGCAGGGGTCTCCAATTATCAAATTAGTAAATGTTAAGGTTTCTTTTATTAAGTCCTAAATTTTAGGCCTCTTCTGGTCTGTGTATGTCACTAGGGTAAGAGTTGTCATGATGTTAGGCCAATATGAAAAGATTTTAAGTTATATGCACTAATAATTTTTACACTCCAATCTTGATCCTGTTTAACAAGAAGTAAGAGGTAAAGCAGAAGAATTCTTATTCGCGTACATAAGTATATAGTTTACTTATGAGTTTTTTTCATAAGATGGTTCATTTGTTAGTGGGGATAGTCTTTCAAATGCCATTTATGAATATTTCACAATGTATACTGCAACTAAGTTACATTTCGTTTTAGTTTTGTTGTTTATTGTGGTGGTTTAATCATAAAGGAAATACAACTTCTTTCTAACCTAAAGAAGGGATGTAATTTTGGAAGTGATTAAGAAAAGAATAAAGCACTAAATTAAAAGGCATCTTTGGGTAGTGTTTTTGTTTATACATACAAAGCCCCTAAAATTCAGTGTCTGCTTTAACCTTTTAGCTTCAGTTGAGTGTGTGACTATCTATGGATCCTCACATGCTTCTTTCTCCTCTGCTTTACTAACAAGAATGGAATGCCTTAAAAGATCACAAGATCCGAGTAAGGCATTTTCATTTTAGCTCAAACTTAAAGATTTTCCCTTTTTAATTTCTCTTTTCTTTCTTTTAGTTTTTTTATATAACCGCGGTATCCAAGTCAGCTTGTGCACATCTCGACTAATTCCATGTGGTAGCTACTACCTTCCACCATATAATTCGAAACAACATGTTTAAGTACATTGATAGTATAAATTTTTTTAAACTGATAGTTTACATAAGTTAAATCTTACAATAATTGGCAAACATATAGAAAAAGAAATAAAACTAGCTACTGAAATAGCTGTTTTATTCTAGCATAGTGAACTTGGAGCTGGACTTTTCGTCTATAATAGTTGATGTCATTGTAACCCCAACTACTTAATGGATTTTGTTCCAATACTACTGGAATAGGATCATTATTCTTCTGAAGTGTCAGCTCATCTCTGATTGTCTCTCTCTATATTTCAGGTTGAAGCTGAAGAACAGCCCGAGATATCTGAGTTATAATCTGTTTCTGCTGTTCCTTACTTTGTCTTCTTCAAGGTAACTCACATGGGAATTTGCTTTCCTTGTCCATGTACTTTTTGTATATCTGCTTGTGTTTGTAAACCTGAGAGATGGAGTTAACATGCATAGACAAAGTAATGCTAAAATATCGGAAAATACTTTCAGTATCTTCTTGGTTTTCTATTACTTGAACGAAGCTTTTGTAATTATAACATAGCACGATCTCAGAAACACTAAAAAAAGTATCTTATTTCACTGCCATTTTCACTGCCATTGTTGATGTTGATGTTGGTAGAAAGAGTAAGCTTTTTGGATGAACCTTTGTAAAGGCTAACAGGATATTTAATGGCATTGAGCTCAACTTTTCTGAGTGCAGCTTTAGCAAGATCAATGCCACACATATCTGAAAGCCTGACAAGATAAAGCAATAAATCTGAGAGCTCTTCACCTAAATGTTGCTTCTCTTTCTCTTTCCAATTTGGTAGCCCTTTTGGGACCTCACCTTTCCACTGAAATATTTCAGACAATTCTCCCATTTCACCTACCTACTAGTATTCAAAAACAAACATGCATCAGAATTAACTAAACACCAAAATCTTCATTGTCATTCTCAAACTATTTGTTCAAGATTTAATTTATACAAACTGACACTATAATTAGTATAGCTAAACTTAGACATGATGCAAGTTCCCGTTGGACCATTAATGCTGCCTTCGGACGGTTAGGATGGCGCCCTTAGGCCATGACGTCTTGGGCCATGAAGCATGTAATAAAGGATTCGCAGGCTATGAAATGATGCACTCGTGCTATGAAAATGATGCCTCCAAACCATGATGCTTTTGAATAATGACATGCAAAAGATTGTAAGGGATCCTCAGGCCATGCCATGGTATTCTCGGGCTATGGGGATGGTGCCTCCGAACGATGACGCCTTTGGATAAGTTGGCGATATTTCAGCCCATGAAGGATGCAGTAGCATGTGG